ATTGCTTTTTATATTCAATAGTAAATTATTTTCATTTTCAATACACAATTGTTAACAATTATTTAGTTTTGTTTTTTGGAGACTATTTTTATTGTTGTTTTTTACCATTATGTAAGTTTTGTGTAAAACATTGTATAAAAACTTTGCATACAGTTATTAACTGATAAATTGCATGTGAATTAATTAATCATGTGCTTCGTTGGCAAAAAGAAAATCACGATAAACTGAGAAGTGGGCGAAAATAGATATGAAAGTATCTTAAGCATTATTTTCTGTGCTTAATATTTAGTAATATTAGTTGTCATTTGAATGTAAATTAAATTTGCAATTAAAATAAGTTGTGAATAAAGACACGATTATTTTTAAAAATTGCTTAGAAAAAGATTTAACATTTTTTATTAACTTAAAAATATTGTTAATAAATATAAATTAAAAATAAATTACTGTCAAACTATGGTTTAGATTGTAGTTTAAATTATTCTTAAATACTTTTATTATAGGACTAAAATGTTGTACAAAAAAATTAGATTAGTTTTATTGATAGGTTAGAGAATTTGAAGCAAAGGGTTGTAAAAATGTTTCCAGTAACTTATTAGAGCAATAAAGATGTCCAGAATTTGGTTCTATTGTCGACATTAAATCTATTACTTTCTCGACAGCATTCAAAACATATGAACAGTTGAATAGAAATCAACACTTTTATGAAATGTTAAAAAGCATTTGAATTGTCTTAAAACTGTTTTACCGCCAAATCCTATACTCTTGGGACTGAAATGTAAACACATTTACAGAATATTCATCATATTTGCCATTGAATGCACATTAGTTCCTAATATACAGTACAATTGAAATGATGCTAATTTGATGCATATTATAGCAAATAACAATTAATCATAAGTTGTTATTGTATTGATTTGTTGGCAATCATGTGAATTAAATACAATACTATTAGTTATATAATATAGCAGTGATTATAACAATTATGCAATGATATGATAACAATGCGATAGAGTGTACGCCCAATACCTGTACAGACTGTACGGGCAGTGCATCACAGGCTGTACTGTAGTCTGTGATGAGTGTATGGTTTGTGGCATAGAAGCCAACCCTCGGTTCGCATGGCTTGGAGTGAATGAAACCGGCATTTGATTCAATCATTTGTATTACAATTCATTCAACATTTACTTAATTATAGTCTTATGAATGAATTGATTGTAATTAACTAACTAAGTCACTAACACACTTGTTGACCACTAGTTTTTGTTACTTATGAAATTAATTTGAGTATAAAAAGTAGTATTAACCACACAGAAACTCTAATACAAATGAGTACTCAAGCATTCGCAAAGAGATCTCAAATCGGGTGGAGATCTCATCGCCGGTCACCGCTTGGAAGAGAGGTATGACTTCATTACTTGTCATCAATAGATCCGCGAATTAATGATTTGTTTTTGTTGATCACCTCTTTGTGTAGCCGTGGAAGGCGTTACTCTGGAGTCGATGTCAATATCGCCATACAGTGGACACACTTTCCACGAATCGCCAATTTTTCTTCATTTTTATAAGTTTTTGATAACAAATTATAGCGAAATGATTGACAAACTGTTTGTTTTGGTGGACGTATTGACGGCCGTATTGTTGTCTTTGGTTTGTTATAAACAATTGAATTACTTATCGGTATTAGAAGAACAGCGGATGAAGAAGAACGTCAAAAAAGAGGACATCAGCCGACTGTCCATCGATAGGACTCAGATTACTGAACGCTCGCTACGAGTGGCCATTATATACCTGTTATCGCCGTATTCTGTGCTCTCATGTGTGGGACAGTCAACGAGTGTATTCACAAACTTCTTGATGGCGTTAACTCTATTGACCACAACTATGGGTTTGCGAGTGGTGTCGGCCGCTCTGTTGGCGCTCTTAGCCGTGCAGTCATTTTACCCGCTAATGATGATCGTCGCCATCGCTATTATTATTGAACAAAACAAATACCTAAAAGACAAAACAGCAAAAGCGAGTGAACCGCAACTGATCCCATACACGTCACATAATGTTAGATTTTCGCTCTCATTGACCATCACTTTCTTTTGCTGCTTCTTCTCAGCGCTTGTATTCATTTGTTATAAATTAATGCGAAATGAATGGGAGTTTATTGACTCGACGTATGGTTTTCTGTAAGTATTTAAGTCTGGTTTAAAGAGATGTCTGTTTAACTGTTTGTTGTTTTGTGACCGCAAACAGATCCCGTCAAGGGCTGAACTGCGGTTGATAACCGTATAAAACCATAAAGAAGTGTCTTTACAAACTAGTGAAGGCCCTCAAGAAGGAAACCTGGAAAGTCTAGTTACGTAAATAAATACAGTAAGGAAAGGCCATAACTTTAAGGTATACATCACTTAAATTTCAAGTCTATTGATTGATTGGACAACGAATTATTTTTTTACAGAAAAAACCCATACTTTTTAAGCTTCGTTTTATTGATATTACTCTCACTATTCAAACCCTATCCAACTGTTTCTGACTTCGCAATATATACGGCACTAATACCCCAATGGAGTCATCTCTTCACTCGTGAGATAATTACAAACCAGAGATTTGAAAAACTTTAACCGTTGTTCGTTGACAGACATGAAACAGGGACTCATAATCACCACATACAAGCAGAGCTGGTCGCAAAATCGCGGGTATAATACCGTGAATACCTATCAATACCCTTGGCGATTGAGATTGAAGATAAAGCCTCAGTGTAATCGGATATTATGCCGAGTTCATTACGGTATAAACAGTACATTGTGTTCAAAAATATGACATTTATTTGATTCATAGATTTTCCTCATCACTGATCTCTTGTTCGCTTTCGTCAAAAGAGAGTTTTACATCAGTCATGGCGTTAAGACAGAACCAGACGGCAAACTCTCACGACTAGAGCTCGCATTTTAGTCATTAAGAAAACAGTTTTTATTTAATTAAATACAAAATATGTTAATAATTATGTATATAATCTAATGGTTGAATCGGCGCCGCCGGAGAATATCCACGGCTGGAGCGGATGGAAACAGCATTGAGTGACGCCTACACTATCCTTAACGGTGTGTCCTCTCAACACTTTGACGGGAACTATAAGTGGGTTTTGCGTCAAATCGTTGTAAACCATTCCGTGCGATACGATTACAGTGCCGTCGTCTGAGGCCGAAGCGAAGAGTGGGTATCTTTCGTGATAACACACGCTTCGGATCGCCTTTTTATGATATCTCAATGTTTTATATGGTTTAGTAGATAAGTCCAAATCAAACCAACTCAGCCTCAGATCATAACTGCCGACAATCACATTATCGCCTAATTTTGTAATAAATTAATTGATTATAATTTTTTATGATATCTCAATGTTTTATATGGTTTAGTAGATAAGTCCAAATCAAACCAACTCAGCCTCAGATCATAACTGCCGACAATCACATTATCGCCTAATTTTGTAATAAATTAATTGATTATAACATTTAAAAACTGGTCATTTCAAAGTCGACACCAATACATACCTCCGGGATGTACAGCAATGCTTGAGATCTCATTACAATTTGGCAATAATTTTTTGCTCAACTCTTGCTTAACGAGATTATAGATACGAAGCGCTCGGTTTGTGGCGACGAAGAAGTACGGCCGCGTCGGGTGAAACAGAACGCACTGTATTATACCATTGGACTTCTTGAACGGAACCTTTAAATGGAGTCCAAATTAAATCATTAATCAATTATCCAAACTCAACGGTTCATTCATTACCTGTGACTTCCTTTTGGACAAGTGATGGATGACAACCGACTTATTGGCGCCGTTGGGCATCACTGAAGCGAAATAGTCGCCGCCGTAGTGCCAAACCACTTGCTTTATGTCGAATCTGTGTTTAATTACAATTCTGATACCATTCCTCCACTCATCACTCGCTCCGCTCTCGTCGATGGTCTGCCAGTCGACCACCGAATGATCCGTTGACTCACTCTTCGTATTGTCATTAGAATCGACAGCTGTTTTTTTTTATGATATCTCAATGTTTTATATGGTTTAGTAGATAAGTCCAAATCAAACCAACTCAGCCTCAGATCATAACTGCCGACAATCACATTATCGCCTAATTTTGTAATAAATTAATTGATTATAATTAACATTTTTAAAAACTGGTCATTTCAAATGCGACACCAATACATACCTCCGGGGTGTACAGCAATGCTTGAGATCTCATTACAATTTGGCAATAATTTTTTGCTCAACTCTTGCTTAACAAGATTATAGATACGAAGCGCTCTGTTTGTGGCGACGAAGAAGTACGGCCGCGTCGGGTGAAACAGAACGCACTGTATTATACCATTGGACTTCTTGAACGGAACCTTTAAATGGAGTCCAAATTAAATCACCAATTAATTATCCAAATTCAACGGTTCATTCATTACCTGTGACTTCCTTTTGGACAAGTGATGGATTACAACCGACTTATTGGCGCCGTTGGGCATCACTGAAGCGAAATAGTCGCCGCCGTAGTGCCAAACCACTTGCTTTATGTCGAATCTGTGCTTAATTACAATTCTGATACCATTCCTCCACTCATCACTCGCTCCGCTCTCGTCGATGGTCTGCCAGTCGACCACCGAATGATCCGTTGACTCACTCTTCGTATTGTCATTAGAATCGACAGCTGTTTTGAACAGTAGATCCGTTTCGTTGATCACAAACTTTTCGCCTACTTTTGGATTTATAATGAATAGATCTTTGCCGACAGCGACCGCACACAAGCACTTTGATCTGTCGGGACACCACTTGATGTCCGTAACACTGCTATTAAATTTGATTACATTTATCGTTCTTGTGGTGAGGACTTCCCATATTCTGATAGTGCAGTCATCACTTCCAGAGGCAATAAACTGTCCGTTAGGCTCAACACTAATACAACGGATGACATCCGTGTGTCCGTTATATATCAACGATTGGATCGATGGGAAGGGCTGAAGATCACGAGGTCGTGGAAGCTTAGGGATTAGATCTTCGGGGTTGACATTAGCTCTTAATTTGTGAGCTCGTGGACAGAGATAGAGGTCAAGCAGTCGTTCGAATCTTTCCTTAACAAACTTTGGAAACGCCGGAACTTTTCGAAGCGCTGAATACGACTGTGGAATAAAATTGATTTTGCGTTCTTCGGGCTCCTGTTCTGACCATTTCTTCTCTTCCTCCTCATTGAACAGGTATTCCGGCGGAGGATTATAAGACTCTTCATGACCGGGAGGTTTGAGTTTAGGCGCCGGTATATAGCGCTCGATTCGCTTGTTTCGATCGCCAATCGGTTTTTCCCACAAATCGTAATTGAAAACAAAGGGTCCGTCCTTTGGTTTGGTCGGTCGGGGTTTGATTCGACCCATTTTGATGGCCGCAACCAATTTACTGATCTTCCGCTTCTCGGAAAGAGAGGGAATAAAACTGGCCTTCGTTTCGGGTCTGTTAGTGACCGGATGTATCATTTTCTCGTACGTGAAAAAGTCAATGAATGGCTCGTATGGGTTATAACTGGGATCCGGGAATTTGCCTTTTCTCACTCTTTGGATCCCTTCCACGTCAGTGTCCGTAAGGATCACATTCTGACCGGTCATCCGGTCCTTCACTGTCCGCCAATACATCGGATCTTCCATTTTGTTGAGAAACTCTTGCATTTCGTCCACTTTTGCCGGTTTTATGATTTTTTTGCCGCTCAAGTCATAGCCGATGTGCTCGAAGTCATTGTACCACTCGATTGGTATGTTTCCCACTGTATTCCTTAGATCCTAATCACAAACAGTTCCACATTTAATGCCATTCTTATAATGTCTTTTCAGTACAAACCTCTTCATCTGATGAGTCGATGGCGTATTCATCAAATTCGGCCACATTTTTGCTCTTCTTCTTTGGCTTCAATTTATTCTCGATTTTATCGATTTCTTTCTTTTCTGTGTTTTTATTCGTGTCGTCAATTGGTTTCTCTTTCTTCTCCAACAGTTCCAACTCTTCATCCGATTTGATTTCATTGTCTTCGTCTTCACTCAACTCTTTTAAATCGATCTGAAAATTAAGACAAAATTATAGACAAAGTCTCAAAACACTAACAATTGCTTACATTTTCGTTCATATCTTGAATGCCTTCATCCGATCCCTGGTCTGAGAGGACACTCGACTCGTTTGATTCGTTGTCGGTCTCCTCTTCGGACACCTCGTCATCGGATTCCTCTTCAAACTCATCATCAGATTCTTCGGAGTCGTTGTAATCGTTGACCACATGTTTTGTCACATTTTTCTCTGTATTTATTTTCTTTGAATTGTTTTTATTCAACGCTTTCTTAGATTTGGCCATAATTTGTGACTCAATTCAATCACAATTAAAACAAAACTAATTGCAAAATGAGAGCAAAACTACACGTGATTTTCAATACAAATCAATACTGTTTTCAAAACACATTTCACAGCAAAACACGTGAAAACTTTTTTCGCAGAGTAAACACAAGTGTCGGCGCTCTTCACAAACAACGTTACGTCCCATTGAGTGACACCTATTGACCACAATTTGAACAAAACATTTAAATGTATTTTCAATGCAAACAATGAGTGCCGACCGGAGAGTGAGGAGCAGTGCGTGACTACGTGTGGAGGGGCTGTCCTTTGCTGTCCTGCACTGTGTGTGCGCTCACTGTTGGCTACTATACCTGTGCACTGCCTGTACACTGACTGTACACTGACTGCCTGTGCAGTGCCTAACTGTGAGCACAGGTTGACCTACAGGTGCTTTGTCTACTGTTTAGCGCTCTTTTCACACCAAATATAATCGCATTTTGAATGCATTGTAAGGAAAGTGAAAACTATATTAACAGTGGAGAGAGTTTTGAGAGTAAAAACTTTTTTAAAGGCATTCAATTTAAAGGGAAAAGAAATGGAAAAACTTTTTATTAATTTAAACACAAATTGATTGAAACAAATAAATGGATAGAAATGGAGACAAATTGATAGAAATGGATAGAAATGGATAGAAATGGATAGAAATGATGGATTCGTGTGTTATATATATAATTAGATGTTTGGGATGTGAAGAATGCCAACAGTTTCCTCTCCTTTCCTCTCCTATGCCTCCCATTCCTGTGTTTGGCCTCTATTTCCGAGATTTGAATATCACTTAAATGTTTGGAAAGTTTTTTTTCCTTCTCTTAATAATAATGGGATTGAAATGAATATTAAGAAAAACTCTTCTCTTGTCTGAAGTGATTGTATGTCTGAATGCCTGCAGAGGTTGTAGTGATTGGAGGACTCGATGTCGAGAGAGATGTATAGCAGAGGATAAGGCAGGGAATCATTACAAGTGATAATTGAATTCCAATGCAAAGACATATCAATTCAATGGTTGTGCGCACTCTCTCGGTCTCTCTCTCTCTCTCTCTCT